GGAAAGGAGAAAACCTCTAAATAATGATATTCAATTCATATTTCTAGACTACAACTCTCGTTAGTCTTCTGTGACCTAGTTCTCTTGCTATTTGTTTAAAGACACTAATGAGAATTTGCAATGAGACAGAGGGTTTTATCCATAATAAACTAGCCTATTTTCTGAGCATATCTGTAAAAAGCAAAATGTTCTTATTGTAGACTAAAAAAAAAAAATAGGGAATGAGCTATAAATTGCTCAGTTTGTCTCCCCAAGCCAAATGTATTTTCTGTCACCTTCAGTGTTTTGACTTTTTAAAGAAAAAAAAAAAAAAAAAAAAAACAGAGAGAATAATATGCTAAAAAGATCAAAGCTCAGAACCCTAATACAGTTAACAGGCTCCATTTTTGGAATTGTATTCATTATTGGTATCAGAGTAACAAATCTATTGAAGTCAATGGCGATGGCCTATGGGAATTAAAAGAAAATTTACTCTTTAAGACTTTCATAAAAGAACAATAATGAAAAATATGGGAAACTTCTTACAGTGACACATTAATAAACTTCTTTTTTTTTTAATTTCTATTTTAATCAAATAGACCTATAAGAATAATAAAGTTGTCACTGGAAAAGCAAAAACTTCATACAGCTCAATATTTTGGATATTACGGCTTTGGATATTAGATCTGGATACAGGAAAGAAATGTAATGTTCACTGTATGAAAGGTATTTTATCAGACAGATTCTGGGGGAAATGGATGAAGCCTAACTACTATGTGTTTCCTGTCAGATAACAAAATGCTTCAGTGATATTTGGGGGTTTTATATGCCTACCACAAAATTCCCTGATTTAATATGTTTTTGATGTATGCATTTCTACTTTTCACCTAAGTTCTAATTCTGTTCACACTTTCTACCTCATAAACTGGGAAAAAAAAAAGTCTAGGTTATGTGTTTTTATTTCCTGAAATCTCATCAGATTTGAGAAATATTTGTAGCCAAGTCAAATTTGGTATATTGGTTTTACTTTCCTCTATTAAGACCAGAACATAGAAGCAAAACAACCCTCAATGAAATCAGAGAATGCTTTGGGTTGGAAGGGACCTTTAATGGCCAGGTAGTCCAACCCCCCTGCAATGAGAAGGAACTTCTTCAACCAGTTTGCTCAGAGCCCAGTCCAACCTGACCTTGAATGTATCCAGGGATGAGGCACCCAAAATCTCTCTGGGCAACCAATGCCAATGTTTTACCACCCCCATCATAAAAAATTCCTTCCTCAAGTCCAGTTTAAATTTACCCTCTCTTAATTTAAAACTCTTACTCCTTGATCTGTTAAAACAGGCCCTGCTAAAAAGTCTGCCCCATCTTTCTTATAGACCCCCATAAAGTACAGAAAAGTCACAATAAGGTGTCCCTGAAACTTTCTCCCTGAACATCTCCAGTCTGACCCCCCGTTCTCTCAGTTTGTCTTCACAGGAGAGGTGTTCCAGCCCTCTGATCAGTTTTCAGTCCCACCTCTGGATGTGCTCCAGCAAATTCGTGTCTTTAAGCTAAGGACCCCAGAGCTGGGCATAGTACTCCAGGTGGGATGTGACCAGAGTGAAGTAGAGGAGCAGAATTATCTCAAATTCATTCCCAGAGAGAAATGTTTATTTCTTCTATGTGTCTTTGCTACCTCTGTCACGATGGGTCCTTTGTGTACAGTTGATGCTAATGCATCTGAACCTGTTTTGCCAGCTCCTGAGAAAAATGTGTTGGTGTTGCAAAAAACAGCTGAATATTGGCCTGTTATGTAAGAAAAAATCCAGACTCAGAGATGTTGTTTTAATTTTCTGCATGGTAAACAGGCTTAATGGGATAGGTGAAATAAGTTTTAAATATATTTTTAACTGTTGCATTTCTGTTAAATTAAGGACCATAATAAATCTGGGCAGGATGGTCTACCTGCTTTGAGAAAAGAAGAAATTTTAAAGGTTATTTACTTGATTTTCCACAGTGAAAAGTTCTCTGTTTGCATTAGCTGCTTCAAAAAATTGTAGAGGAGTAGCCAGTTGTTTTTTAATGAGGCATAGTAAAAAGACAAAAGGGAAGGGTATGTAGGACAAAGTCTCTGAACTTATAAATGTGTTCTCTTTCACTGGTCTGGAACACCAGAGGTCTTGAACCTGAGTGTCTAATTTTTTAACAGTTAGACATTTTTTTAAATCTTCTCTGATTTACAAGTTGTTTGCTTGTTTTGTTTTTCTATTTTAATTTTGTTAGCTACCAGAATTTAATTTATACCTGGGGAAAAGGGATTCTGAAACAGTAGATCTCTGTACTTTAAATATTAGTTTAACTTGTAATTATTAATATAGCAAAGAGCTATCTAGTAATATATGAAAAATTGATTATATGGATATTTTTATTTATTTTCTTCACCTTGGTTTCAAGGGTTTTTTTTTTAATCTGAAACACCCACAGTTTAGCATGTAAAATGTTCTCCAGAGAAAATGGGCTTCTGTCAATATATTATTCAATTTTCTTTGAACACAGGAATATTTTTACTAAGAGCAGTTTGTAGAAGTAAGCATTCTGCCATTGTCAATTACATTTGATCAAGAATGTGAGTTTTATATGGATAATAAAGAATAAAAGAAAAATTATAGTTGATGCTAGTCTATTATTGAGTAAAAATAATTTCATGGATTAATATTATCATCCTTTATATGATATGCAAGGTAATGAGGTCTTCAAATCCAAAGGTTTATGTTTCTATTTTAAAGTCTCAAAACCAAAATTGATATTTTATTTTAAAGTTTGGGGGTTTTTTTGGGTTTTTTTTCTGAGGATGATATTGTAATAAACTAGAAATTGCATTTTTTTTCTCTATGGAGTCTCCAGAGAAATATGGTTTATCTGGCCCTATTGCAGTTAGCATATGGTGATAATTCTTACCCAAAAGGTGATATTAGAAGTTGTTCCTTAGATAGAGAATCTGAAGAAACAAAGTATTGTGAATGCTTGCAGCGCATCTTCTGCAGTAGAGCAGTTCTTACCTTATTTTATAATGAGAACAGATTTTTTTTTATTATTCTCCTAGATCTCTAATGTGTGCAAATAAAGTTCTTCTGCATCACTATTGCTCAGATCAGGAAGGAGTAAATCACCTTAGATCAGGAGTAATGATACATTTAACCATGTATTCCATTCAGTCTGTGGATTTAGCTTTGAGATAATAAACTGCAGTCAAAGTGATTCTATTTACTGGAAATATTTCTTTCAGAATGCATACTAAGAAAAAGATTTTGCCTTTGATTTACCTTTTGAGTCAATAAATAATGGATAAATCATTGGTAAACTAAAGTTGGATGATTTTATGTAATTTTCTTCTTTGGTAAAATTACCCTTGTTACGCATGCTATACGAACTTGGTAAAATAATATAGAGGGTTTATTACTGTCCTGATCTCTACAATAAAAGAAATTCTGCACATCAATAAATTTTAAAATCCCAAGTCTCCCTAAAATTGGAATTCTTGTGATAATGCTTTCAAACTTCTTTTTTAATGAACTGAATGCTTCTGCAAGCTCTTTACTTCATATCAAATAGCTTCTAGTGATGATCTGCACCACTGACAAATGAAATTAAATACTTGGCTGTAAATGAGCAGAAAAGACATTAGCTGTAGACTGGGAGTTATTTTGATGACAATTCTCAAGGAAACAGCAACAGAAGTAATTACAGCAGATTGATCTGAAACAAAATATATTCTATGCATTAGTTTGTGTTACTACTTAAAATTTAAATAATTTTAGATATTTGGGTGGATACTGTCTCAAAATAGATTTAGTTTGGGAAGAGGAAGACATTTAAATTACAGAATAATATGAGTCTGTACAGTTAAAAAGGGCATTTTTAAATTTGGCATTATGATTCTCAATGAGGAATCCCTAAGAACTAATGACTACACCTGCAGTAAGTGATCCAAACCTTTAATACCTTCTGCTCTGTAGCTGGACTCTCTGCAAATGAGTTTCTAGGCACACCCTCTCAGAGTACTATCCTGGTACCTCCCCTGAAACAAAGAGGTTTTTCATTCTAAAATATTCAGACATAATTGATCCTTCAGTATTGATCTTTTCAGGCATCCTCTGAGAAAATTATGCTTGCATCGTTATGGTGATTTGTTAGATCCCAAAAATTATTGATCACATTTTATATTCTGTAAAGCCAGAGATACGAAATATCTGCAGGTGCATTCTCTTTTCTTCTAGACACAGAAAGCATAACAGGAATATCCAAAGAGTTTGCCAGAATGCACAATTCTTCATCTTTCATTTTTCTCTGTAGTGTTGTCTTGTCTTTAATCACATCAATAGTTTGTTGGAGACAGAGATCTCTTTAATAAAGTTGACATTTCTCCTGTCAGGTTTCTGTGCGGTAGCTCTTGGTCACAGAGAATTACCATGCAATTCACAAATTCAGTCATATAAAGTCCCCCACACCAGGAAAATCTGTTCTTGAAGCTGGAGCCTGCTACTGGTGATGAGATGCCTCCCCTTCAAAGGAGGATTAGGAGATTAATGAGTCTCCATTGCTAATTCTCTGCTGGTTGTCTCAGATTCACTCTTAGCATCTTTCTGGGTATTCAATCCAATATGCAGGCTAAATGATCAAAAGGAAATGTGATTGCAGAGGGGTTTTGGAATTCAGACATATGTTAATCCATCGTTATCATAAAGAAGTATATAGCAAAACCCTTACAGCAAGAAGAATAGCTGTAGATTAATAGGGACATATTTTGATGTCCTATTATTGACCTCTGCTAATGAACCTATAGACCCAGATACACTTTTGCAGTTTTTTCCTGAGGATTCACAGTGCTGATGCTTATAACACAGTTTAAATGATAGTGTAAAATCTGTGGTAATTCAGAAAATGGTGTGTTCATGACAACATAGATTCAATTTACAGTTTTGCAATTGTTTATCAAGTGTAATTATAGGTGACCTTCCATTTATGTTTGCTTTGGTTTTTAGCTCCAGACCAGTCTGTCTGAACCAATGACTTTATCCAAGTCGATCTCACTTCCTCGTAGTGCATATTGGCATCACATCACCCGGCAGAACAGCGTTGGAGAAATCTACAGTTTACAAGGCAAGTTGCTTATAATGCCATACCCATTAGCTTCTTTCCATTTTACCAGAATTCATGCAAATTGCATTTTATTTGCACTGGTTATTTTCTCTCCATTTCATTTATCAATTGTCAGGATCCTCAGCAGGATCCCCAGATTTACATAAAACAGGTTTCTTTTAGTCATTTTGTAAACAAATGGTGAAAATTATTTCTAGAATCACCACATAAAGCTGGATAGACAATTTGGCTCGATGTAGCTTCTCAGTAGCTAATGAATGTCAGGTTGTTTTAGTATTTTCTACCAATGAGATGGGGCAAGTATTTGAGCAACCTCAGGGTGCCTAATTAAATCTACATAAAGTGGCTATATGAGTTGCAAGATTAAAACAGAGTAATTCTAGGAAGAAGAGCTATTCTTGGTAAATTTGCTTGGCAAATCATATATGTGAACTGTTGACTCAACTAACTTACAGACCTTCAACAAATCTTCTTCTGTCTATGGTTTTCTTTCATATGTTTAGATTTGCTAAAGCCTTTAAATGCTATAATTACCATAACTTGATGATGATGATTCACTGATCTTAAGCTGAAATTGATTTGTATCTTTTAGGAAAATGAAATTATTGTTATATTTAAAATGTAGACCCTTTTAAAAATAACCTTTTGTAAACATAGCACTTTGTATTATTTCTAAAGGCCTTAAGGATTTCGTTTTAGTTCTCTCTTAATAATCTGTTTGCATAAACAATTTACATTTAGATAGGAGTTTAGAAACTGCTTACAAACAACAGCACCCAATTCAAGGAGACTGTACATATTTTCATTAAAATGAGTGGAATCCAGTATATAAAGGAAGGACATTAAATGCTTTGTTTTGTGAATTATCACATAAATTAAAATCAGCAGGTGAACTGTGCATTCAGTGGGTGAGTCATTAAAGGGTATAAGCATTTGTTTCCCATCATTTTCCATAGAGCAAAGTTAATTTTTAATAATAGCTATAGTTCTACATTTAAATACCAGTAATGGAAAAAAGAAAATAATCTTCCAGAAGCTGTTTGTGAAAAAAGTTATACTCGTACATCACCCTACAAATATTCATCATATCACTGATATTTTTTCATGGACACAATAAGAATTGAAAAAAATAATTTTATTTGTAGAGATGTTAGATTTCTTCTTCTTGTGTCCTTGATGTGTCTTTTCTTCATCAGCAAGATAGTAAATGTATTATATTCACTCTCAACAATCTTTTCTTCCTTATAAATGGCCTTCAAAATAAAGGAAAGTAAAACTTTATGTATAAAATAATAATTAAAATACTTATACCACCTAGCTGTGCAGGATTCAACATACTGGAAGTGTATTATTAAAAATGTAAGAATTTTTCTTTCTGGAAATATGCAGATTTTATCCACATTTCCACTGAAACATGGGGCTTATAAATACTTCAGAACTTAAGATTTTCATTTTTCCTACATGTACTATGATGACTGAAACCTGAGAAAATATAGCTGATTTCAGGGGAGACTGATTCACTCTTACCAGTGGGAAAGGAAGTGCATCCAGAAGACTCTGACTGCAAAACTTTTCCATGCAAGACTACCATTCACTATCTGTAATGAAAATCTCTTTGAACCTTCTGCTGCAATTACTAATTAAAAACAATTAATTTGTACAGAAAGTGAAGTGGGTACGAAGCACACCTTTTCCTCCTAATACCTTGTCATACCGACAGCCTTTGCACTGCAGGGTTGTCAAAGCATCAGCCCACAGGAGCTCCGTAGATGTGGGTGGAAGGTGGGTAGCAAGGAAGCAGATTGGAAGCATCACTTCAGCCCTCACCTCAGCAGAGCAGCCAGCTGAGAGGAGCTGCTGCAGAGGGAGGAATCACCTTCTGTTGCCATAATCTCCTCTGAGCTTCAAAAGGTGCATTGCGCCTTCGGGGAGGAGAGGTTTTCTTCAGATAAGGGACATTGAACTTAGCTCTGCACTTCATGGGCATTTACAACAAAGCTTTGAACATTCAAGAAACAAATTTGAAAATTCCCCACATGCTTCTAAATATCTCACAAACTCCAAAGTGAAATAAACAAAGTGGTGTCTATCTATATCCAAGTGACTGTCAATATCAGTAGTAGTAGCCGAGCTCACTGCTATGTCCAAGTGTTTCCACAGTGGCAATTATTTCAAACTTACAGTCTGAAGTGACTGGAATTTAATTAATAACAGCTGGTGATGTATAGGAAGAAATGAATATGTGTTCATACTACCTTAAATAAATTGGCTCTTTGGGAGTTATTTAGCAGTCAGATTTAACTTAATTAGTAGTGTGTGCTGATCTGATAATGAATATGCTATGGAGTAAGAAGGTAGTGGGTTTTGTGATTTTTGGTTTTTTTGTAAACTACATTTCAGATGAAAAAAGGCCCTTCAATAAATGAGTGTTGGGTCTATTATGCTCCATTAGCCCATGAAAATACTTACATGTAAAGACCTGTAGAGATTAATGCATGGAATAATAGAGCTAAAGTAACACAAATTGCACAAAATACCTTGAAACAAAATGGGTTCGTTTCTTTTGGTAATCCAAATATTGCCCTTAATTACAGTTCAGAAATTAAGTAGTGTCCTTAAATATTTTTTATCAAAGATTAATTTAAATAACAGAGGAAAAAGAGCTCTACACCATTTTTGTGCATACACGAGTATGACATACATGAATTGTATGTTTTCATGAATAATTGACAGCTCTAAAAAAATTTGAGCCCAATAGAAGACAAACATTCACCGATATGTTATGCTATCATACATCAAGATCTAAAAATTTATAAAAATGAGAATTCAAGAGTAACCTTTTTAACCAAAGTCATGATTAAGAAGGAAAAAATATGAGCCATATAAGCATGTAAAGAAATACCCTGTATGTTTCCTTGTAATTCAGTTTTTATTGTTTATACCTACCATAACATTTAGCGCTGTAACACAGAATATTAAAAACTGACTGACAAAACACATGAGTTTTTATACAACAAAAGATATTAAGGAGAATTCATCTCTTCTTTTTGGGGTTTTTTTTTGGTGGGTTTTTTTGGGTTTTTTTTTTTTTTTTTTGCATTTAGGGCTTTAAATTTGTTTAAAATTAAAAAAAAAAAAAAGATTGCAGACTGAATTTTCAGCTACCTGAAGAACTCTAGTTCTTGCCCTTTAGAGTTTGGATGATACAAATGTTAAACACAGTCAGTTTGTGTATTATTGTATAAATAAGGCCAAATAGAATTTTGCTATTGAAACATTAATTAGCTTTTTGTATTGCAGTTATTGAAATCCCTGGGGAAATTATGTTCAGAAAATCTAATTACAGCCTGGCCTTTCTCCAAGAAATTCAAAATTAAGAAATGCTTTCAGTCACTCCTGTTGTGTTTGATCTGGTTTCTCCTCATTTTTTGGACTTGGCTTTTGCTATCCATACTCAAAATAATGAACACCTACCCACAAAGGCAATGCTATTCATTCTATGAGAGTACTTATGTGAAGGAACATATATTTGTATAAGAATTACACCAGAAACATCTTATGTGTTTCTTCTAAAAAGAGAACACTAAAGGGTTTTTTTTCCCACAGTATTGCTTATCACAATTTGCTTGTAATGAATTTTATTTGCTCTATCACAAATTGTTACCACAGTTTGTTGTAAGCCTATATCAAAGTAATTAAATGACATGGAAAAATACTAAGAAGCCTGCTAAGAGTTGTATTTCTAAACTTAGTGAGGAATTTTGAGAAATAAAACTATCATCTTTGATGAAATAGGACTTCAGATTCTAAGCACATGCCAAAACCATAAGCAGACAGAAATAAAAAATAGCTCAAATGAAGTCTGAAGGAAATTTGCTGTTGATATACAATTACGTTTTGTATGTCACAATAAAGGCGCAAAAAACATAAGGCTGGTTTTGCAAACCTAAATGGACAGAAGCTATGTCTCCTCTGTGATCTGAGTGAGTAAGCCTGCAATGCACATTGTCTTTTGGCCTTGTTAGATGACAACTCACCCTTTTTTCCTTTTTTTTTTTTTTTATATATTTTAAGCAGAATAATATGTAGTGTTAATCTGCTCAGCTAAAAGGTGTTGTGCATAAAAGGGAGACAAAGTCACATACGAAAAACCCATCTACACAGTTTTCCAGCCTTTTCAAAGTAGAAACTCTGATATGTCACTAAAAATAATCAGAGAATATTCAAGTTGCTAAATATTTAGAGGGATTTGAATCATTCTGTTCAACCTTCCTTAAGCTAATCCTGCAGGAAATTCTGATGCAGGCTTCTGTAGCTTTCTGCAAATTAAAGTATGTAAAATGAATGGGAGAGCATTCGTCATTTTGGCATTTCCACTGTTTGTTCATATGCCCAGCAATAGAGTATGGAATCCATTTCCCCATCTAATCTTGGTGCCTGAACAATATGAATAACACAAAATGTTAGAATATATCTGTTATATAAACCTGATCGCTCAGTAATTTTTCAGTAAGTGTCTACCAGCGGCTAAAGCTGAAAAGCTTTATAGCCTTCCACATTCCCATTTCCTTTGCGGAATCACATCAAGACCTTCACGTTAGTAAATGAAGGCTATAAAATTCGAGATATGAATAAAGGACACCTGGAACAAGATACTTACTGAGTAGAAACTGCATAGGAGCTACATTATTTAAAATTACTGTATTACGTGTCTTCTCAAGTCTTATGCAGTAGATTTTATCCTTTCCTTTTGAGCTTTGAATTTCTGTGCTAAGTAGTGCATCACTAGAGTGATTTTTAAATGGCACATTGTAAGTGGGATGTGTCTTACTCTGAAACCAGTAAAGAACTTCATTTTGCTCAACACTGATTGCTGCCTCTAACCAAGAGCATTACTGACAAGCTCTAAAGAGTATCTTGACATATTCCCATTCATTCTGATAAATCATTGCTGAGTTAAGAGGTTGTTTCAATTATGAGCCATGAAAAATAGAGGAAGG